TGAGATCTACTCACTCCGTTTTTGCCCCTCAAAGCATCTAAGAGAACTAGGGTTCAACTGAAACACTTTGGAAAATAACAACATAAACCACTTTGGAAACAGGAGATAATAGTAGAGGTGATTTCTGGCATTTGGTTGGGCTTGGCCAGTGGCAGGAACTGGAGAGTAGGAGGAGAGAGAGGTCAGAGGATTTTTATAGGCAGGGTGACTCACCATCCTATGGGATTTCCCTTTAGTGATTCAAAAGAAGAAGTGCATGTCCTATGCCCATTTTTAATGGGGTTGTTTGTTTTTCTTGTTAATTTGTTTTAAGTTTCTTATAGATTCTGGATATTAGACTTATCAGATGAATAGCTTGTATATATTTTCTCCCATTCTATAGGTTATCTGTTTACTCTGTTGATAGTTTCCTTTGCTGTAAAAAAGCCCTTTTGTTCAACTAGGTCCTATTTGTAAAGTTTTGTTTTTGTTGCAGTTCTCAAAAGAAGACATACAAGCAGCTGACAAGCATATGAAAAAATGCTCAACATCACCAATCATTAGAGAAATACAAATCCACAATGAGATCCCATCTCACACCAGTCAGAATGACTCTTATTAAAAGGTGAAAAAATAACATGCTGGTCAGGTTTGCAGAAAAAAATGACCACCTATACACTCCTGATGGAAATGTAAAATAGTTCAGCCACTGTGGAAAGTGGTTTCAAAATTTCTCAAAGAACTTAAAAAAAGAACTACCATTTGATGCAGGAATCCCATTACTGCGTATAAACTCTCCAAAATATAAATTGCTCTACCATAAAGATGCATACATGAATATGCTCATTGCAGAACTATTCACAACAGCAAACACATGGAATCAACCTAAATGCCTATCAACAGTGGGCTGGATAAAGAAAATGTGGTACATACACACCATGAAATGCCACAAAACCGTAAAAAAAATGAGATCATGTTCTTTACAGCAACATGGATGAAGCTGAAAGCCATTATCCTAAGCGAACTAACATAGAAACAGAAAATAATATACCACTTGTTCTTACTTAGAAGTAGGAGCTAGACAATGGGTACACATAGAAATAAAAAAAATAGACATTAGGGCCTACTTGAGGGTGGAGGGTGGAAAAAGTGTAAGGATAAAAAAACTACCTATTGTACATTATGCTTATTACCTGGGTGATGAAAAAATGTGTACATCAAACCTTCACAACATTCAATTTACTCATATAACAAACCTGCATGTGCACTTCCTGAACCGAAAATAAAAGTTGAAAAGAAAAATAAAACAATAAGTAAACTCAGAGAAGTGAGTCCAGAATTTGTGATGCTTTTATTAAAGAGCATTTTCTGATTCTGGTAGATGTACCATGGTATCTAATTGTGGTTTTAATTTTCATTTTCTTAATAACTATTAAGGTTAATTAAAAGATATTTTCAAATATTTCAAAAATATGTATTAAAATATAATCTAAAACTCTGTGGGTAGTGAATTTTTACTTTATACATTTAGAGGGTCTATCATTAAATACATGTACACTTAAAATGATTATATCTTCCTGAAAATTAACTATTTTTATAATTAAGATACTTCTTGTATTCATCAGTAACATTTTTTGCTCTTCAGCTTTGATAAGTTTTTATCAAACTTCAGCTTTGATAAGTTTTTTGATTTGGGGTTTGCTTGATATATTGTTTCTCATCCTTTAGCTTTATACTTTTTGTATGCATTAAAATATACTTCTTTCATATAGTAAGTAGTTCAGTTTTGAGTTTTTAAGATTTTGTCTGAAATATTTGTACTTTATTACATATAGATATTCATATAGTTGGGATTAAATTTACCATCACACTATTGACTTTCCTGGAGGAAATAAAAGTTCTAATTCTTATTGAAAATTGATAAATGAAATGCACATGCTTTAAGATTACAAGAAAACACACAGTAAAAGACTTTATAACTATTAAATTAATTTGAGGGAGAAATAATGCAATAAAGGGGAGATACAGGTATACAGAACCATTGACCAAAAAATAGAAACCATTTTTTGTTTGCTCATTTGTTTGTTGTATTTGGTTTTTCTATTTTACATTACTGGTTTCCTTAAAAATTCAGTGTCCATTTACACTTTCATTTGGTAATTTCTCTTATCATATCAGGGAATGTAGGTTCTGCTTCCATAGCCTACATCTGGTGACTGAGGGACAGGAGTGGGCATGAAGCCAGGTTATACATACAGATAATGACTGTGATGTAGGTGGAAGAAAGACCCCTGCTTCTCCAGACTAAGGTGACCTCTCTGTCTCCATGATCAGAATCCCAGCTCCAGAGAGTGAACTCAGGACTTTCATTTAGGGATCAATTTCATAATAATTTTCTCTGCTTTTTTCTTTTTCTTTATACCCTGTTAATTGAAGTTTAGATGTTGTTCTTGTCTCTTTCCTGTTTTTTTACGTAGAACTAGCACTCACATTCTGTATACTTATCTAGAGAAGAACCATAATTTTGCTCATAAAAGCGTTCTCATATTTTATTTTGGGAATAAACAGCTTGTTATGTGGTGCCTGTGTGAGAGAAAGAGGAACAATTGACCCAGCTTTTCCAATATGATTTTAAAAAGCAACTACCTTAACAACTGCTTTGGGTTCCAACCTACTCCCCTGCTTCTTGTAGTTTTGACACTGAACTTGAGCTCTTTCTGATTTGCTCTTATTTCTATAGTAGTTAGTTTTGTTTGATGTTTACTTATAGGTGGAGTGATTTTATAAGATATATGTTTCTCTGTCAAGTTTCATGTTACTGTTCTCTTGAAATTGTTGCCTGCTAATAAGCTAATAATGTCTCATTTCACACCACATGGAGTGGGAGGAGACATTGATACTTGCCCTTAGTGCAGAATTTCAAGCTCTCTTGTATCCTTGTCTTCTGCAAAACCACATTTTCGAGTTTTCCTGCTACCTTCCTTACTCTCTTTTTCATAATCCTCTGGGAACTCTTATTTCTGATTACACTGGTTCTATCCTCTAGCAAAAAAGGGTTTGACATTTTCTGCCTCCACCCACAAGCCTGGGTGACCTCATCCCTCTGGGTGAAGAGTGGTTGAGTTTACCTCTACAGCCATGATCTTATTCCCTAACTTCCACCAGTTATCCACTTCTTGTCAACTTTATTTGAAGGTCTCTACACAACTCTGATTAAATATGTTCAAAATTTTACTCTTTGTTCCTGCAGTTCCATCCCAGTCCATGTCTATTGCCTTACTGAATGGCTGTATCACTCATTTAGTTTCCTAACCCAGAATCTGAGTGTCATCCTTTCCTGTTTTCTCTCCTGATTTACACATTAATTCTACCAACAAATACTGTCATTTCTCTTTCCTAAACATCTTTCAAATCCATTCATTCTCTCTAACTTCACTAGCATCACAGGTAGTTCAGGTAACCATCATCCCTTCCCTAGAGAATTGCCTCTTCCTTGAGCCTTTCTGATTTTATTATTATTTATTCCTGTTGTTTCTTTACATGAAATCAGGACAGTATTTCTGAAATACAATCTATTTTAATTCTGATAATTATAATTTTAGATTATAGGCCACATCGTTTTTGGAATAGAGCAAAACTGGATTTCAATCTCATCCATGCCAGCAATAGGACTATCTCTGATTTTTCAGTTTCTTCTTCTGAAAAATATCATGTTACCTTTCTTCATTCTCCGTCCATTAGTGTATCTTTTGGTCATTCATCAGGTCTCCAATTAGATGTCCCCTTATCTAGGACGTCTCCTCTCCCTACCCAATGTTGGGTTCATTGATCCTCCTATGAGCTCTCTTACGATACCCTACTTTACCTTGCAGATCACTGATTATAATCGGTTGTAACGATTTATTTACTCATCTGTATTGCCACTTTACCTTGCAGATAACCGATTATAATGGGTTGTAGTGATTTATTTACTGGTCTGTTTTTCCAAGTAGTCTATAAACTCCTTGACTGAAAGTTACTTTTTTGCCATTTTATCAGAAGCACATGGCACACTGTTTGGCTTATAGTAGTTTTTCTTTTTTTTCGAGATGGAATTTTACTCTCGTCCAGGCTGGAGTGCAGTGGCATGATCTTGGCTCCGCCTCCTGGGTTCAAGCAATTCTCCTGCCTCAGTCTCCCAAGTAATTTTGTATTTTTAGTAGAGACAGGGTTTCTCCATGTTGGTCAGGCTGGTATCGAACTCCCGACCTCAGGTGATCTGCCTGCCTCGGCCTCCATAAGTTCTGGGATTACAGGCATGAGCCACCACGTCTTTAGTAGTTTTTCTAAAGAAAATACTTAATGAATGAAAACTGCCCACCACTTTGCTCTCCTCCTCCATGTAAAGTAGGCATTATTTTATCTTACAAGTGAATCTTAGGTTCAGGGTAGTAACAAGGTCATGCAATAAATGATTGCCATTGGTTTTATCTTACTCAAAGACCAGCTTGTTTTATGATACCAGCTGCTTCCTTCACTTAGAAAGGTGTTGTTTTATTGCCATACGACCAGCTTGTTGCTATTTTATGGTCACTCGTGATGAATCTCTAAAGGTGGGATTTCATGTAAACAAAACATTTAAGTTGTGTATATTAAGGTTGATGCAAAGGTAATTGTGATTTTGGCCATGAAATAATGGCAAAAACCACAATTACTTTTGCACCAGCCTAATAAAATAGTAGCTCTCCAGAAAGACAAGAGTACTGTGGAAATGTGCGAAACTGTGAAGGGGGGCATTTACAAAATACCATTTACTTAGCTTGTGTATATAATGACCTTTGAGCAGAGGCTGGCATACAGTAAGTCCTCCACCACTGATATCCACAGTAATTAGCACTATTATTTTCATAGGAAAGACTATATCAGGCAGTCACTGCTTTTTCAGCAAATTTCAAAATAGACATCCACACCCATATTGGGAACACAAAATCAGTTAATGCTTCCGATATAAAAGGGGAACTAGTTGCGCTTCTCAGAAATTCTCAACACAGCCTTTAAGTTTCCAAACATCTGCTAGAAGAGGAATGCAGATTTAAACTGAGTGAGGTGTGGAGTGGGGGAAGTTCACGGGGCCTAGACTAAAGAACTCTGTGGAACTTGCCCAGACCACTGCACGCATCAGACCTACGGTGAATATTGCAGGCCTGAAGAAAGGTAGGTCCAGGGACTTGCCTTCCTAGACTTTTGGGCTGATGGTTTATTTCCTGGGTTTAGGATTTCTGGGAGCGGAGTGAGAAAAAATTGAGGCCACTTCCCATGACGCAAGCTGGTATTCAGGATTGGGGTGGGCAGAGTGCACCTTTAAATGTGCATTTGGTGGGGGGATGAGGAACAGTCCTTGCTACAGTCAATGAGAGTTAGAAAAGTCTCCTAAACACTGAAGTTGGAGGCTGGATGAGGTTGTTTTACTTACTTTTGTTCCCCAAGTCCTCAGAATATCAAAACACAGAAAGCAGTAAACTTCTGACTAATTACCTTATCTACTGTTAATGTCCTTCTTCCACTCTCTTTATTCTGTCCCTGACTGGTTATTTTTATCATTTAAGATTTAAGAAAATATCTGCCATGTGCAGAATTTGGTGTACATGGAGCAGGGCACCGGCAGGGTCCCCAGCCTTGTACATTGGGCTGTGGCTTTATCTAGTTCTCCAGTGGTCTCTGGCACTATTCATGGGGCACCCAGGCAGTAAACTGAGGCTGCTCATGAGAAAATTTGCTAATGAAAAACACCTTGCCGACTTTTAGCATTCTTGGGATAAGAAACAAGTTTGTATATAGTTATAGCCATTGTAATCTTTCCCCAGATGAAGTAAATGAAACCCAGAAAAGGGAAATAATGGACCCAGAATCACACAAGTTAATAAATGTGCTGGGAGCAAAAAACCCAGAATTCTTGTTTCCTAGTCCAGGCCTTTTCCTTCTCTGTGCCAGAATTTCTGCATCCCCATCATCCTCCCAAAAACCATCCAGGTTCAGGCCTCATTTTGAGTTTCTAGTCTATTTAATAACTTTGCCAAGACACACACAAAAAAAGATGGCCATTTGTTCCACTCTTCTCATGTTCTCTTTTTGCAACTGTGACCCATGAGCGGGGTGGTGACATAAAAATGAGAAAACAAGAGACTGGTGGTGCTGCTGATCCACAAGGAGACTGGAGCAAATAGAAGAGGGAAAGGTGGTCTAGGTCCCCCCACCTCTTTATCTGGTGGGGGTTGGGGCAAGACATTGTTATTGTCAAGAGCCTGACGCATACAGGTGATGTGACAAAACCAAGGTTTATATTCTTCTCATACCCAGAAGAAATGTCCCTCATATGTATCCAATATTCTCAGCAGTTTAAAAAAATTTTTTGAATATAGAGATGTCGAGCCCTAGATGGTTAGCACATGTTTTTGTCCTTGGGGACTTTATCTGCCATAAATAACTAACACATGGATTTGAATTTCTGTGGTGTAAAAATAGGAAGCAGTTATATGAGTTTATGGCCAGAGTTTCTTAGAATGACAAAGCACCAGCCTTGAATGACCAGACCTGACCTATGTCACCAAAGAATCATGGAAAAGCTTAAGAGTCAGTTATAAGCTTTATTTTGATATAATGTCTCTGCCCTCAGGAAGCTTAAAGTCTTAACAGAGAGACACTAAACACAGAGGGAGAACCACCAGTGTATTTGATAAGACAGACCCAACCTTTCCTAAATTCTCAGTCTGAAGGTGTGTCTAAGAGATTGAGACACAGGTTCCTTTACATTAAAGAAGAATAAAGTACACATTTAGATGGACTAAGAAGAATCATCTTTAGTTACTTTCCAAGTAACTTTGACTTCTGTGATGTAAAAGGGAAATAACATAGATTGCTTAAACCCTTAGTTACCATCATAGGTTGATTAATCCACGTGTGGGCAATGGTGGGGAAGGGGGAGAATAGTGTCTGAGACAAGACAGAGACCATGCAATGATGTTAGTGTGTGAGAAGATTAGATGATGTGGTGGGTTTGTTTTTGTTCTTACAAGGTGGCCACAGGGAGGGGTGGAACATTCCTGCAAATGGGTTCAATATATGCAAATATCTCAATATAGAAATAAAATTACCTCTTTGGAACAACTTAAGTAAGTCAGATATACTTGGGACTTTAAAACTGAAAAGGAGAGACATTCAAGTTAAGTCTATGACAATAGATTTGTGCTGAAGTAGCAGAGTTTTTATCAACATTAAAAATTTTAACTTTATGCTAAGGGTGATGAAATGCAAAGGAAGGCTTTTAAAGGGCAGGGTAGCACAATTGTTTTTGTATTTGATCATTCTGGTTGCAAAGTTAGTGGCAGATTGACTACTGAAAGCCACAAACAGACACAGGGAACATTCAGAGGCTATAACAAATACTTCTGACAAATATAGGATAATGGCTTGCCTTGAGAAGATGGGAGAAACATGCAGAGAGAAATACACAGAAATACATTGAAAAATGGTTCTGTAGGATTAGAATGAGATTGATTTGAGCATAGAGGGTAGACAATAGAAGGCATCAATGACAAACTACCAGATATTTTGAAGCAGAGTCTCACTGTGTTGTCCAGGCTGGAGTATACAGGTGCCATCATGGCTTACTGCAGCCTCCACCTCAGCCTCCTGAGTGGCTGGGATTACAGGCACCCATCATCACACTCAGCTCTTTTTGTATTTTGTGTAAAGATGGGGTTTCGCCATGTTCCCCAGTCTGATCTCGAACTTCTGGGCTCCAGAGATCCTCCCACCTTGGCCTCTCAAAGTGAGCCACAATGCCCAACTTTAAGCTTCCAGACCTTTAACATGGACAATGAAGTTAATTTCTGGGCCTTCCACCAAAAAAGGACATTTGTAGTCCCATAAGCCTCTTAGGATTCCTGTTTCATTTAACTCTTGCCACTCTTGATTAGGGACTACTTATAGGGCTCTGAAATAATCTCCACTTACTATTCCTTTCACCACCTTATTATTTTGAAAGAAAAATTTTGAGGAAGACTGGATATCTTCTATTTAGGTCTTCTAAGCTTTGAAATAAAAATTACCTCTTCTCTCTTCTGGAACAAGTAGGTAAATTGTCAATTTATGAGCTTTATTATAATGATTTTAAGTTAAGCCCAGAGAGGGACAATTCCCCCAAGTGTAATAAAATTTGAGGATGTGGATTAAACGTAAGACCAAATACAAGACCTCCTATGTTATTTTAGCCATTTGCTCCAAATCTATATTTTGTGTTCTGCCCAGGGGATGCTAAGGTGTACGTATAGGTCTAAATATACCTACTCCATAGCATGTAAATGTACCCACCTCACAAATTCCATTATCATTGGAACAGAGACTGAAAGAGGAAAAGGAGCGCCTCCTGGCCCACCTCTACATAGTCTTGTATCTAACTTATTCCAAATTGGGTGGTTTCCACCTTTTGGCTATTATAGATAATACTGCTAAGAAAATTCACTGTACAAATTTTTGTGCAAACAAAAGAGATCTTCTATTCACCAGACTAGTGTAGTGGATCCTCTTAAGCAAAGGAGTTCTGGAATTCCATCACCTGGATTTAAATTTTGGCTCTGCCTCTCTTTACTCAAGTTACTTAATCTTCTGTTTCTGTAATTCTGTCCTGTGAATAATAGAGTATATCTCTTAGGGGAATTTAATGATGAAATAACACATATAAAACATTTAAACCAGTGCATATTATTTAGTAAATGCTAAGTACATATTAAATACTTTTATTGGTGTTCCTACTATGACTCATTTTTGGCTTGAAGTATAAAACATAAACTTCCTCTAACACTTCCTACCACTCAACGAAATGCTGGCGAGGACTTTATTTCTAGCATGCCCCTGCTTCAACCTGTTCCGGTCTTGGGATACGTGGAAAAGCAGAGGAGAGGGGTCTATATAATTGGTGACAGCATGTTATTTGTGATGTCATGTTGTCAGAGGTTGACTCTTCCTCTTTTTTGCAGTTTGTCTCAAAGATTGGTCAGAAGAGTCAGGATTGTCCTCTTTTTTTGCTATCATGGAATAAGTTAGATACAAGACTATGCAGAGGTGGGGCAAGAGGCCCTCCTCTTCCTCTTGCAGTCTCTGTTCCAATGATAATGGAGTTTATGAGGTGGGTTACATTTACATGCTATTGAGTAAATATATTCAGACATATATGCACACTTTAGCAACCCCCGAGCAGAACACAAAATTTAGATATGGAGCAAAGGGCTAAAAAGAGGACTTATTTTTGGTCTTAAATTTAATTCATACTCTCAAATTTTGTTAAACTTGGGAGAATTGTCCCCCTCTGGGCTTAAAGTCATTATAATAAAGCCCATAAATTGACAATTTACTGACTGTCCCAGAAGGGAGAAGAGGTAATTTTTATTTCAAACATTAGAAGATCTAAATAGAAGATATCCAGTATTCCTCAAAAGTTCTCTTTCAAAAAAGTCAGGTGGTGCAAGAATAGTATGTGGAAATTATTTCAGAACCCTACAAGCAGTCCCTAAATTTTTGATATTTTTTTTCTGCTACTGTAAAAGACCATTGAAATCTGGGCAACTTATTTTAAAATTTTATTTGGCTTATAATTCTAGAGGCTGGGAAGTCTAAGGCAATGCATGGTGTGAACCTCTGGTGAAGGTAATCCCATGAAGGAAGGTGGAAGTGAGCACACAAAGCAGAGAGGGAGATGTGACCAAATTTATCATTTTATCAGGAATCCACTCCTGTGATAACTAACCATATCCAATGATGAGGACATTCATCCATTCATGCGGGTAGAGGTCTCCTGATGTAATTACCTCTTGAAGGTCCCACCCCTTAATACTGTTACAATGGCAATTAAGTTTTCACATGAGTTTTAGAGGGGACATTGAAACCATAGCATTTCATCCACAGCCCTCCCAAACTCAAGTTCTTCTCACATATAAAATACAATAATTCCTCAATAGCCTCAAAATTTTTACCCATTCCAGCATCAACTCTAACATTCTAAGTCTACAGTCACATCAGAAGCAGATATGGATGAGACTTGACATATGATTTATCTGGAGGCAAATGTTTCCAGCTGTGAGACTGTGAAATCAAAACAAGTGATTTGTTTTCAAAATATAATGGTGGGACAGGTACAGAATAGACTCAGTTCAAAAGAAAGAACTAGGCAAGAAAAAGGCCTAACTGGTTTCAAGTGAGTCCAAAACCCAGCCGAGAAAACAGCATTAAGCTTTAAATCTGGAGAATAATTTCCTTTGACTCCATGTCCTGAATCCTGGGGACACTGACTGGGGACCCTCAGACAGCCCTACACCCATATCTTTGCTGGACTCAGTCTGTGCTTCAGCTCTGTTAGGTTGGAGTTGTGTGCTAGTGGTCCTGTAGTTCTGAGATCTCAAAGGTAGCCTCACTCCCATGGCTCCACTAGGCATATCCCTAACTGGGACTCTCGGTGTTGGCTCTGACCCCATATTCTCACTCAGCATTGCCCTGATAGAGGCTCTTTGGAGTGGCTCCACTCCCAGAGCTATTTGTGATATCCTTTGAAACTAGGTGGGGAAAGCCATGCCCCTATAGCTCTTGCAGTCTGCGAGCCTGTAGAGTTAACACCACATGGTTGCCATCGAGGTTGACAGCTTGTACATTTTAGGCACAAGTATTATAGTGGCTGTGGAGCTGGGGTCCTAGGCTCAGGGTCTTGCAAAACTACTGTGGCAGAAGTTCACTCACCGAGACATGGCTGGATGTAGATTACCCACAACGATGAGGCTGTGACTCTGAGGCATACCTCAGTAACTCAAGCCCATAGGGCAGGGATGGAATAGTTACTGATTCTGGGGTCAGAGTACACCACCAGCATTGCTCCAGGGAAAGAGGGGTGCTTTGGAGGCTTGAGCTCTGTGGAGCAAGTTACAGTTGAAATTTGGTTCCAGAGCCAATCGGACACAGCAGCAATTCCAACTCTGGGGGATGGAATGCCACAGAGTGGGAACTCTAGACCCTGGGATAGGAGGGCATGGCGATATCCCAGGCTCTGTAAGGCTGAATGTAGCAGCAGCAAGGCCTGAGGAATGACTAGGGCTGTCTGTGGCTTGGTCCTCAGGTTTCTTGAAGCAATGCAGAAATGACCCCCTGGGGAGCCAGGGTTTCTCAGAAGATTGGACTCCAAAGGACTAGTTAGTTCCAGGGAGGTGGGGCCACTGCAGCTATTTTGCCTGGCTGTTTGGGTGACAGCTCAATCAAAGCTATCTGTCCTCAGAGAGTGGTACACAGTATCAGCTTGAGTTTGGAGGGCCAGAGTGCACTAGCGACTAAGATCGGGACATGGAGCAGTTCCATGGCAGCCTGGCCTCAGAAGGTAGAGGGTAGATGGCAGCAGTTTGACTCAGGTATGGCTACCAGGTATGCGTGTTATAGTGGTGGTTAAGCCTCAGAGATGGAGGGGTGCAGTGGCTACTCTTGAAGCAGAATGCACTCTAGCAGTGATTCAGTTCCAAGAAGGGGCAGCACAGTAGCAGCTCAGGTCATGGAGGCCAGGGCAAAGTGTCAGCACCTCTTCTGAGATAGGACAGGCATGTGGACTTTAGGGAGCTCTTTCAGCAGAGCTCAGAGCCTGTGAAGACTCTGAGTGTCTCCAGTAGTAAGACTGCAGGTGTCCATGGTGGTGATGGGAGCTGCTGAGTCCTCTCACTTACCTATTCCCTGCAGAAAGAAGGACCTGCTGAACCAGAACTGGTCCTAACTGGGGGCAGAGGTGGTGTAAGAAATATGCTTTCTCTCCTTCTTCATGCAGCCATCCTGGGTTTCAGTGCTCCACAAGATTTCTGCTACTCCTTTGCTGTTTTCTGGTGCTCTTCTTCAGTTATTTTGGTTGGAACATAGTTTATTCATTTTTGATTCTCTCTCTTTCTCTCTCTCTCGCTCTCTCTCTCTCTCTCTCTGTGTGTGTGTGTGTGTGTGTGTGTGTGTGTGTGTGTGTTGATGGTGATGAGGGTTAGTAATTTCTAGTTGGCTATCTTGGTGACATTCTCTGGAATTCTAATCAGACATATTCTAGACCTTTTAATTCTACACTTCTAATATTTTAACTCTCTTCTATTATGACCATTTTCTTGTTTCTCTATAGAACTCTTGGTGTTTTCTTAAAATTTTTCTTCCAGTTGACTAATTCTATTTTCAGCTATTCCTTGTTATTTAACATATTGGCCAATTTTTTTGGTCAACATTATATTATATTTGAAATTTGTTTGAGACCATGTTGCAAATATGTCCTCTCACTCTATGCACTTTATCTTTGACTTTTCATTGTTTTGATTTCATTTTTATTTGAATAAGTTATCCATACTCTTTACATATTCTCTCTCTATATATACACACACATAGATGCTCCTAATCTGTGGGACTTCTTGGAAGGTTGTATCAAGGATATCTACTTCCTTCTTTACAGAATCCAATGTAAGACTTATTTGGAGCCTGATTGCTTTCTAAACATGTGGCTTTTCAGTGTAATTTCTCCTTTACTACTGACTTTGATGATTCTCGGAACTATACTTTTCCAGGGAAGTGATAGTTATCAACTTACATATTTAATTCTCAGGATTATAAACAATAACTTGTGTTGTATACCTCAGGGAGCCTCTCATCTTTGATAAGTATACTCCAAAATCTCTGGCCATGGTGTCCTGTTTCTTTCATACTCTCTCTACACTTTCCCCCAAATTTATCCTCATGTAATCTTTGTTTTTAACACTCATTTTATCTGATTTATAGAAATGTTAGCTGTTTCCCACTTTCATAACAAAATGGAGTTCTAATTCTGTTTGTCCAAGTTGTTTTCTGAACTTTTCTAAAAGTGATAAGAACATTAACTTTTTGGTTACATTCTTATATTTAATGCCTTAACTACTTAAGTCATATTTACATTTTTTATTTTACATATTTGTCTTTTTTTTAAAATTATTGCATTTGGGCTCTAGGATACCTGTGCACATCCTGCATCCTGCAGGATTGTTGCATAGGTACATACATGCCATGGTGGTTTGCTATCTCCATCCCCGCCCCTGCCCCCGTCACCTATGTCAGGCATTTCTCCCAGTGTTATCCCTCCCCATCCTCCCCCCACATTGTCCCTCCTCTCCCCTTCCCTCTCCACCTCCACTTAGCCCTGTGAGTGTTGTTACCTTCCCTGTGCCCAAGTGTTCTCGTTGTTCATCAGCTGCCTATGAGTGAAAACATGTGGTGTTTGGTTTTCTGTTCTTGTGTCAGTTTGCTGAGAATGATGGTTCCCAGATTCATCCATGTCTCTACAAAGGACATGAACTCATCATTTTTTATGGCTGCATAGTATTCCGTGGTGTATATATGCCACATTTCTTTTGTCCAGTCTATCATCGATGGGCATTTGGGTTGGTTCCAGGTCTTTACTATCATAAACAGTGCCACAATGAACATACGTGTGCATGTGTCTTTATGCTAGAACAATTTATAATCCTTTGGGTATATACCCAGTAATGGGATTGCTGGGTCAAATGGAATTTCTATTTCTAGATCCTTGAGGAATCACCACACTGTCTTCCATAGTGGTTGAACTAATTTACACTCCCACCAACAGTGTAAAAGTGTTCCTGTTTCTCCACATCCCCTCCAGCATCTGTTGTCTCATTTTAACTTTCCTTTCTCTGAAGTTCACCCTCCTCCTTCTCACTTTAATCAGTTTTATTGTTAGATAGCTAATAATTTAATATTGTTAGATAGCTAATAATTCCATTGATGTATCAAAAACAAATACAGGATGATAATTCTTTCAAATAAATCCTAATTTTTTCTCAACATAGCAAATTTGAAGTACAATAACACTTTTTTTTTTCATTTATGTTACCAATAAAAGGGTAGATATCTCCAAACTTGAGACTTTTATAGGGTTTCAATGGAGCATAAATAGTATCAAAATTAACTATTACTTGAAGGACATTAGAAAGCTTCACTTCCCTAAGAATTTATGGAAGTAGGTAATGAAACACCTCAATAATATTTTCAGCCCTGTGAATTTAATTGTGCTCTGATTAGAAAAGGGGGAACCATACAATACTATACAATAAATTGGAAGACAGATGATTTTGTGTAGCTTATCACTATAATAAAAGTAATCCTTCATGGGGAAGTGGCTATAATGAAGGGACTAGGCAGTAAGAGGGATAGAAATCAAATCTGAGCAGATTTGGAATTTGAACTTAAAGAAATATCTCTAATTTAAAGGTCCAACATATTTACCTTGCATCTGTCAACATGTGTCTCTCTTCAGGACTTTCTAACACCTTGATATCATATGACATGTAGCTTCTCCCTCTCTCCCCCGACCCTTAATGTGTTGCCTATTCCACTTCCCAGGCGCTAACAGCTATTATGATATAGGAGGGGAATGTAGACCAGATTTTGTCCTGAGGGAGGAACCTGCCCCAAAGTGTCATGTCCTTCCTTTGTCATTTCCAGGACCTCATGCTAAATCACATTTCTTTCTTATTGTAGCACCTTTTCTACTGCCATGACAACCATGCAAGGAATGGAACAAGCCATGCCAGAGGTTGGCCGAGGTGTGCCCCAGCTGGGAAATGTGGCTGTCGTACATTCGTATCTGTGGAAAGGGTTGCAAGAGAAGTTTTTGAAGGGGGAACCCAAAGTCCTTGGGGTAAGTCACTTGCAAATCTAGGAGAAGACCACTGGTGTTGTAAACTCATATTTCATAAGACCTAATGCCAAATACACTGTCCTACCAGCCTCAGAATACAACAGCCAGCCCTCCAAACATCAGTATTTACTGTTCAGGCCCTTCATCTGAAAAACTATATTCTATCACAACATGCTTCCCATTGAGTTATATTTGAAATATATTGGCTTCAGATCTATTCTAGGGTTGTGGGTCATCCATGATAATTGCATTTAAACTCAGCATGGAAGAGCAGCAAAAGAAAAGGCCACCTAGGCACTACTAGCTGACACTCCCTTCACAGGCCTTCCTGATAGCTGAAACAGATACATATTGCTACTATTTCTTTCTGGCACCTTTTCTTAGCCTGCTGACTGCTCAGAGAATGAAAAAATCTATTTTCTGAGCATTTCTATCTGGAGTCTCAGGTGAACATGCCTAAAAGAAATAAAGGATTAAAAAAATGACAGAATAGGGCAGATGAAAGGATATTAAATATAGGTTTATCACTAGCCCAATCTTCAAACCACTGGAAAAATGTCATTGTGAACATTTTGGATCCTTTTTTCACATTATTTTTTGGGGAGGATATAGTTATTTTTCATAAAATATGTTACTTATGTTGGCACATACTAGGTTTATTTTTTAATGTATGCATAATTATTTTAAAATATACTCTATGTTTTAGAGCAATTTTAGCCTTAAAGAAAAATTGACAGCAAAGTACAGGTGTATCCCATCTGCCCCTTGCCCTCACACATGCATAGCTTTTTAATTATCAACCTCCCCACCAGAGTGGTACCTTTGTCCCAATTGATGGACCTGCACTGACACATCATTCCTCAAAGTACATGAATCACAATGGGGTTCATTCTCTGTGTTGTGTGTTCTATGGGTTTTAACAAGGGTATAGTGATATATATCTACCTTTATAGTACCATACAAAGTAGTTGCACTGCCGTAAACATTCTCTGTGCTCTGCCTATTCATCCTTTCCTCCCACCATTCTCTGGCAACCTCTAATCTTTTATTGTCTTCATAGTTTGTTTGCCTTTTCCAGAAAGTCATACACTTGGAATTGTACAATAGGTAGGTTTTTTTAGATTGTGTTCTGTCACCTAATATGCATTTAAATTTCCTCCTGTTTTCATATGGCTTGTAGCTCATTTATTTTTAGTACTGAATAATATTCCATTGTCTAGATGTACCACAGTTTATGCATTCACCTACTGAAGGACATCTTGATGGCTTCCAAACTTTGGCAACTATGAGTAAGGTTGCTATAAATATCCGTGTGGACATAAGTTTTCAACTCATTTGGGTAAGTATGATTGTTATATTGTAGGTAAGAGTATGTTTAGTTTTGCAAGAAACTGCCATACTGTCTTCCATGTGACTTTGTCAATTTGAAGAATTTCAACCAACAGTGAATCAGTTCCTGCTGTTTTATGTAATCTCCGGCAATTGGTAGCGTCAGTGTTCTGGATTTTTACCATTCTAACAGGTGCTAGTGGACTCTCATCATTTTAATTTACATTTCTCTTGTGACACAAGATGTGGAGCATCTTTTCATGCATTTCTTTACCATCTCTATATCTTCCTTTGTAAGGTGTTTTCTTAAATTCTTTGGCACAGTTTTAAAAGAGGACGTTTATGTTCTTATTGTTGAGTTTTAAGTTTGTTGCGTATTTTGGATAACGATCCTTTGATATCTTCTCCCAGTCTGTGGTTTGTCTTTTCATCTCTTGACGATCTCTTCTGCAGAGCAGAATTTTTAATTTTATGAAAATTAAGATGATTAATTTTGTAATTCATGGGTTGTGCCTTTGGTACTTTATTGACAAATTCATCACCAAACCCAAGATCATCTAGATTTTGGCCTATGTTACCTGTTAGGAGTTTTATAGTTTTTAGTTTAACATTTGTGTCTGTGATTCATATTGAGTTAATTTTTGTGAAGGATATAAGGTATGTGTCTAAGTTTTATTTTTACTTAGGGACATCAAGTTTTTTAAGTACTTTTATTTTTTTGAGATGGAGTCTCACTTTTGTTGCCCTGGCTAAAGTGCAATGGCCTGAGCTCAGCTCACTGCAACCTCCGCCTCTCAGGTACAAGTGATTCTTTTGTCTCAGCCTCCCAAGTAGCTCAGAATACAGAATATGTCACCATGCCAAGTTATTTGCGTTACCATGCCAAGCTATTTTTTTTTTAAATTTGTATTTAGTAGAGATGGGTTTCATCATGTTAGGCTGGTTGTGAACTCCTGACCTCAGGTGATCCACCCGCCTTGGCCTCCCAAAGTGCTGGGATTACAGGCATGTGCCAATGCACCTGGCCTAGTGCTATTTTTTAAAAGGCTGTCTTTTTTTTCTTATTGTATTACCTTAGTTCACTACCAAAGATCACTTGACTATATTTGTGTGACTATCTCTAGGCTTTCTATTCTATTCCATTGATCTGTTTGTCTATTTCTTTGCTAATACTGCACAGTCCTGATTACTATTACTTTATAGTATGTCCTAAAATTGGGTAGTGTTGGTCCTACAACTCCTTCATTCTTCTTCAATATTGTGTTTGCTATTCTAAGTCTTTTCCCTTTCCCTATAAATTTTTGAGTCTGTTTATCAATATACACAAAATAACTTGCTGAGATTTTAATGGAGATTGCATTAAATCTACAAATCAAGTTGGGAAGAACTGACATCTTGACAATGTTTTGTCTTCCTATCCATGGACATGGAATATCTCTCCCTTTATTTAGTTGTTTAATTTATTTTATCAAAGCTAGTAGTTTCTTATAGATTTTGTACATTTTTTTTAGATTTATACCTAACAAATACCAAATACCAATACCTAAATATTTCACTTTTAGGGGTGCTAACTTAAATGGTATTATGTTTTTAATTTCAAATTTTACTTATTGATCATAAGTATATAATAAAGTAATTGACTCACGTGTTAACCTTGTATCCTACAAACCTAATAAAATTTTTTGTTAGTTCCAGGATTCTCCACTAAGTGTGAAGTTAGCTGTAGGCTTTTAATAAATATTCTTTATCAGCCAGAAGAAGTTCTCCTCTATAATAGTTTTTCAAGAGTTTTTATAATAAACAGGCATTGGATTTTTTTCAATATTTTTTCTGCATCTGTTAATATAATCATTTGATTTTTCTTCTTTAGCCTGTTGATGTCATGAATTGCATTAATCAATTTTTTAATGTCTAGTCAGTTTTGCATGCCTGGGATAAATCCCATGTAGTCATGGTACATAATTTTTTAAATACATTGTTAGATTTCATTTGCAAATGTTTGTAGATGATTTTTACACCTTTGTTCATCAGAGATGTTGATCAGTAGTTTTCTTTTCTTGTAGTATTTTTTCATGGTTTTTGGTAGATGATTGTGTTAGCTCCATAGAATGAGTTAGGGGTATTTCCTCTGTTTCTACTTTCTGTTAATAATTGGAATAATTTCTTTCTTAAGTATTTGGTAGAATTCACCACTGAGCCTTTCTAGGTCTGATGCTTTCTGTTTTGGAAATGTATTAATTATTGATTCAATTTATTTAATAATTATAGGCATATTCAGAGTGTCTATTTCTTCTTGTGTGAACTTTGACAAACTGTCTTTAAGGAGTTATCCATTTTATCAACGCTATCAAACTGTGGGCATAGAATTGTTCATAGCATCATTTTATTATCCTTTTAATTTCTGTGGGAATTGTAGTGATGTTCCTTCTTTCATCTATATTAGTAATTTGTGTCCTCTCTCTTTTTCTTAGCCTGGCTAGAAGCTTTATTTTATTTATACATATGTTTCTAAAAACTGCTTTGGATTTTATTGATTTTGTCTATTCATTCAATTTCATGATTTCTGCTCTAATTTCTATTATAGTTTTTCTTCTGCCTATTTGGAGCTTACTTTCTCTTCTCTTTCTAGTTTCTTAAGGTAGACTCTCAGGTGATTGATTTTAGAACATTATTTTCTAATATATTCATTCACTGATATAAATTTTCCTCTAAGCATTGCTTTCACTACATCCCACAAATTGTGATAAGTTGTTTAAATGTTTTTGAATCTTTTGAATGCCATGGGATAACGGCACTCTTACTCTGCTATTTTTAGTTCCCTGTGTACTCATTCTCATGTCCTCATACACTAGACCTTAAGAAAATATATTTGCTCTTCTTTTTTTCTTCCCCTGTATATACTCTTCTTTCTTCAGGTTATTTCCCCTTGCCACAATAACTGCTTTCTGATTCCTAGGCTGCTTATCTGAGCGAGCTATGGTAGAAGCAGCATCATAGGTATCAGAAAAGCACCTCTGGGCTGGTTCTGGCTTACTCTTTTAACCTTGAAATTATTGGTAATCGTAGACATCCTGAGAGGTAATATTGATGTTACCTCTGGTGGTGGAAGCACCATTTTCGTGGTGGATAATCAGTTTTTACTTTCTTCATCATTTCTAGGTTGTGCAGATTCTGATTGCTCTGATGAGCCTTAGCATGGGAATAACAATGATGTGTATTGCATTTAAGACTTATGGACCTCGCCCCATTACTCTGTATATTGGGTACACAATTTGGGGGTCAGTGATGGTAAGTAGAGTATATTTTGATATAATTGAAGATAACATAAAGTAGTTGTCAATACCCTGATCTTTGGAATCCTAGTCTAACTGTATCTTATAATTCTGTAAATTTGAGAGTGGTGTCTAACCGTTCTTTATTCAATTTTATCATATTTAAAGTAGTAATAATAATATAGAATTATATTAAAGCTGGGCAGATTAAATATTTACATATGTCAGTTAGATATATTACAGCAGCACATTGCCAAAGACCCAAACCAGAATGGCTTAAACATTGAAAGCACTGATTATTTCACAACAAGATTAGTGGCTTGTCGTTTCTAGGAATGCTTCATTCAGTGGAAAAAGGATTTCATACAGGACTGCTAGCAGACCATATCAGAGGGAAACAGTTGACACCATCCCACTTTTGGTAAATATTTTGTAAACATATTCCCAAATCAACTATCAGTAAAAATAACGAACTTGCCATTATTGGCTTGGACTAATCAAGCTCCTCTGTAGCTGGGAGGAGTCTACCCTACCTTTTAGCACATGAGAAACTGAACAAAATGATGGTTCAGTGAGCAGGAAACAGAGGAGATGTGGCTGGTACACAAGCAGTTTTTAACATCGAGTCTATTGACTATTGAAACTCAGGAAATTGTTACCTTAGAAAATGAAGTTGTATTTGATACATTTTATTTCATAAGTTCAATAAAATAACTATAATTATTATAATTAATACTAAATTAATTAAAACTGTTATTAAAATTAAAATTAGAATTGGAATTTAAATGTTAAAACCTTCTTACAAGAGAAAACACAAGACGGTTTTTATGCAAATTGAGAGTAAAATACAGAATAAAATACCAAGTTTTATCCACTGATAAGAGAAAAATAAAATTTATAAGTTGGATTTATGTTAGAATCAGGGACTCTATTTTAGCATTACAGGGTTTCCATTTATTTCTGAAAGTGAGAATGAGATATTTTAGAGTTTTATAATAGAGCTTGCTTTTTGCTCCCCTTCAACTGTTTGTATCAGAAGTGCAAGATTGGGAGAACAGATACTTCAGGAAAGTTGCTCAATACTTTATACATCCCAAATTACTAATGCCAATAATAGCTCTTATTAAACTTTTACTATCATGTGGCACTCTACTAAGTGCTTTATATGTACAATTTCATTTCGAACAATTACCGCAAACTTCTGATTGTTCATTATCATCATTTTACGGATGAAGAGAGGTTAAGTAACTTGCCCAAGATCACAACTATTTGGCACAGAAATGAAGGTTCAAATAGTGTCAGTGTATTTTCAGAATTGCATGCATCTAACCACCTAGCTTTCTGCTTTTATTTCCATTTCCAAGATTACATTGAAAACCAGCTTATGTGGTGCAAATCTTCCATACATGTTCAGTAGATTACCAGGAACTGCAGGAGCCATTTTCCACTGAGACATCACGCAGGCTCTTGTAGGCATTGCATTAAATGAGCCTTTACTTAATTAGTGAAACCTTTTCTTCGGCCACCTTCCATTATTCTTTCAACCTTTCTTTCCAAACCTCATCTGTAAAGTGCCTCCTTTTTCTCCCTCATACAGTGTAAGTATCAATACCAAGAACCAGTCACAAGTTTCTCTTGTTTTTGGACTCTTCAGTTCTATTCAGTTCTATTCCTGTATGTTGCACATTCCTTGTTAAATGTTTTCCTCTGAGATACTATATACATACTTTTTCCTGTGGTAAATGAAGTCCTCTTATTCACTCTTATTCTCAAATACACAAACATAAATATACTCTCACAATATGTATAAATAATTTCTGTATAAAATGTTTTTCCAAGGCAACTTACTGAATTTTTAAAATAGTTTATGGTACTTTTTAGTTCATATTTTTGGATGTTTGCAATATATATTGTTCATACTTTAATAAGAATAGTTGTAACCATTTGTTTCAACTATTTTTCTTATATAATGATTTTGGTTAATTTACCCAGAATAGTATTTATTATATAATAGTCTTATCTTTATCTTGATTTTGACTTTAATGAAATGGTCCTAATTTTCTTTTATCATTGAAAACAATAAAGACTTTTAGATTGAAACAGATTTCTATCATGTTACAGAAAGTATAATTCTTTATATTTTACCAGTAAGGTTGAAGTTGCTAATAATGTTGAATTGTATTAAATGTCCTATCCTATCAACACTGCAAACATGAATAGCAATTACCATGTAATTTTTGCTTAAATTCATTAATTGCAAAACTTAGAATATTTCAATATTAAAAATGTTTGTAGAGTTGAAGGAGCATCCCAAATGTTCATGATGTATTTTATATTATATGATGAGTGATTCCCTCTAGTGTTTTTGTTCCAGTAGCGATTTAGATAACATGAATCATCACTATGTCTGGGTATTTGGAAGTTAGTTTAATAAATGTATTGAGCTTTTTTGTTAGTTGAATATTTTTTATATTAAGATATAATTTTTGAATCATCTGAAATCAAATTTGAAAAGCAAATAAAAAAGAATTGAATATTTTAAGGTAGAGAGGCCAACAAACTTGACTAGCTGTTTTAGTTAAATGAAAAATAATTGCCCTACTGCTGGATAAATGAACTAGTGTATTCTAGTCATCATCTAATTGTGAATTTACTTTTTTTTTTGGCTACTGTTTTACTTATAACTTTAAAAAATATTCTAAATGAGAATAATTTTAGAGTACTTTTCATTTAAGTATCATCATCATTTTTGGTACCATGTAAGAATTACTTTGCTTCAGGAGTTTGGAAACTATCTTTTAGTGTCCTCAAACAGTTTTAATATCATTTCAGTTAGGTGTTATTTGAAAAGCTTGATATATTCTCCCATGGATTTATCTGGTATAATTTCCCTGTTCTTTCTGGGAAAAGAGAAAATAATGTGCAAACTTTTGTGGTTTTTTCCTAAGAATATTGGTCTGATTTAACTTATCTATCTAATTTCGAAGTAAGTTATGAGTTCCAATACTTGCTTAAAGTTTTTTACCTTCAGTTTTTCTATCATTCTTAGTTTATTATTTCAGGATCCTTGTCAGTTGCAGCAGGAATTAGAACTACAAAAGGCCTGGTGAGTAATATTTTCTTTTTTTGGTATCAAAAAAAGGAAAGATTAATAAAAAGTGTATTCTGCTAGGGTATAAAACCGGTTTTGTTTCTTTGTTTGTAAAAAATCAGAAGCGATTGTGCATTTTACCTACTAGCATCTATCTTTCAAAAATTGCAATCAGGCTAGTAATAATAATTACTGCCATAAGACTGGATATTTTGGCAAGGAAGGGAATCTTGCCCTTGCTGAGGGAATCTGTTTTCAGATATAGAGAATTATTGAGAAGAACTATCAAGTGGGACTACTCAACAAAACCCTGCAGCATGAGAGTCGGCCCATGACAGTGACACCAAGCATTGGTGTGGCATAATATTTACTGACTGATTGATTAAAATGTAGATTCTAACTCTATTTGGGTTTTCAATAAAAGAAATTCACAATAAGGTTATTACATAAGAAGAAGCAAATTTAAAATGTAACTCTCATGCCAAGATACCTTTCATAAAGCCAATAAAATGCAAAAGCCCATATCTCAATAAATATTTTTTTCTAGTTCAAGTTCATATTTGAGTTTTGTTTGTTCAAAAGATAAATATCAAACTCTGGAGCATGATAAATATGGGTTTTTCAAATCTGGCCTCCTGTCTCCTCCAGCTGCAGCCACACTAGGCTCCTCACACTTTGCTGTGCACTTTTAGCTCTTATTGAAAGCCTCCTAACCTTTACCCGTGAGAAGACAATGTACAGAAAACAATACACTGCTGAGAGAGATAATATACAAAAGATAGAGAGGCATGACAGGCAAACAGCATTTAGAAAAATGATAAGAAATCAGGCATCAGACGCAAGGAATGGCAGGGAAGGACACAGGGCAGTCCCGCTAATGCGCGAAAGACATTGGAAACACTGCTGAAGAGATCTGGAGGTCATCTCCTGTACCCAGAGGAATCATCTGAAGAATTTAAGCTGGGGAATAATGGGATCGTATTTATTTTTTGGCAAGAAATTAGAGTTGAAACCACTCTAAGGAGATAAGCTAGAAGACTATTGAAACAATCAAGATAAAGATAGATGGCTGTAGAAATAAATGGTGGGTGTAAAGTGATTCAGGTAGATATATCTGAGGATTCTGTTGGTTGTTTAATTGATTTTCATTCCTTTCTAGGTCCGAGGTAGTCTGGGAATGAATGTCACCAGCTCTGTATTGGCTGTATCAGGGATCTTAATCAACGCATTTAGCTTGTATATTTATTCATTCCATCACCCTTACTGTTACTTCTTTGACAAGCCAAATGATTGTCACGGGACTCTGTCCATTTTGATGGTTAGTGCTGCCTCTTTTCATGGGATATCATCGTAGGAGCAAGTGTGGGGGAGTGCTGGCTCTGGCAACAACAATAATTAATCCCTCATTGCTGAATGACATTGGGAAGTTGGAGTGATTGAGAAATAGAATAATCTTTGATTTAGGAGTTAGGTAGGTGTCTCATCTATGTCTTTCTTCTTCTTCTATATATAATGAGGCACAATGGGAAGAAAGCTTACAGTTACAGAATACCTACTCATTAATAGTTACTGTGCTGGGTATTTTATATAAATTTTTCAATTTAAATTTTAAAACATTGATTCAGTATGTACTATTATCCTCACTAAAAATGGGGCCCAGATGTCAGTCCTCATTCTCTAATAATGAAGCAAAATTGTCTTGAACAGTGTTTTACAAATGGTGAGTAACTCAGTAACCTTTTCAGTATCTTTGGGTGTTCTTGCAAGGTTAACCATTTTTATCCTCAACATCTAGCTCCTGGAAAATTCTCAACCTTCATTCTGAATTTTACTACTTTTTGTACCAATTGTTCCTATCTCAATGCTATCCTAATTGCTTTATTCTGAAAATACCATTTATACAGTATTTTATAGGTAGTAAAACTTCCTGACATTTTAGGCCATTGGGTAGGTGTGAGGAGGAAGAGTTCTTGCAGCACAACACAGCAGACTAAAATGCACAAATAAATCTTTATTATTAAAAGGTGTCTGCAGGCGTGGTGGCTCATGCCTGTAAACCCAGCACTTTGGGAGGCCAAGGCGGGCCGACCGCCCGATGTCAGGAGTTCAGGACCATCCTGGTCAACATGTTGAAACCTGTCTCCACTAAAAATACAAAAATTAGCTGGGCATGGTGGTGCACACCTGTAATCCCAGCTACTCAGGAGGCTAAGGAAGGAGAATCGCTTGAACCTGGGAGGCAGAGGTTGCAGTGAGCTGAGATCGCATCATTGCACTCCAGCCTGGACAACAGAGAGAGACTCTGTCAAAAAGAAAGAAAGAGAGAGAGAAAGAGAGAGAGAAAGGGAGGAAGGAAGGGAGGAAGGGAAGAAGGGAGGGAAGGAGAAAGAGAGGGAGGGAGAAAGAGAGGGGAAAAGAGAGGGAGAAAGGGAGGAAGGAAAAGCCTATTGGTCATTTTCAACACCAGCAAATTTTCTGTTACTTTCCCTGTATATGAACTTTCAGCCTTTCGCTTTGCTGCTTAGTTCTAATCCTCACTGTGTCCTTCCCTCATGTAAACATGGAAACTCAACATTGTGCCTAACTTACTAAGCAGAATCAATTGCACTCCGTTTACTTCATTCCTAGCTAATTCTTCATAGTTTTATGGGCTATATAGTCACACCAAAATAACCCCTTGAGGTGTCTTTGCTAAACTAATTCAGTTCCCTTGAGATTCCTAAAGTTCTTTATAGTAAGCAGTTTTATTTCTTGCCACTCACTCAAAATAAGAAAAATCTTATTCAGAGAATTTGACAAATTCTTCCAAGGTCACTCAGAAATTGTCAAAAGCAATATTCGATTCTACAGCTTCTTGTTTCGAATTCCCCTCATATTTGCTACGGTTATCTTGAAGAATAACTTTACTTTTAGTTTATGAAGATCTGTTCATTTGTAGATTTTAAGTGCACAATGATAGAGACAAAATCTGGAATTGGCCAGCTTCACAGGGCTGATTTCCTGGGCATGGGACCTGTGCAGTTACTCAGGTCTTCACAGTTGAAAGAGCCCTGTGCTTGATCTAATGCTCTGCTGTTCCTATCTTGAAATTATTTTTTAAAATTTTAAACAAGAGACTACATGACACGTGACTTTTTTTGGAGGCCCAGCCCTGTATCCGTTTTTGTAAATAAAGTTTCATAATGTTTAATTGAAATATAAAGAAGCCCATCTGTTTACATACTGTGTAGTGCTGCTTTTGTGTGATAACAGCAGGTTTGAATATGTGTGAGAGAGACGTTAGAGTCTGCAAAACTTAAAATGCACACGATCTGGCCTTCATAGAAAGCTTGCCATCTTCTAGTCTACCCTTCTAGATGTTAAATCTATGAAGACAGGAGAATTGTCTGTTTTGTTTGCTGCTCTATCTTCTGTGCCTACAACAGTGTTTGAAACTGAGAGGCCACTACGTCTGTTGACAGTACCAGAAAATAAATAAGCAACGAATGCACACATTCTCAACGTCTTAAGTCTGCATCACTCATATCCCGAGCTCTTGGTCTATTGGCTCTTCCACAACAGAGGGACTATCCCTAACTATGGAGAGAAAAAAAGAATATTTAAACCAGATAATCCCTGTGTCAATCCAGGGTAAAATTAATAGAAATCAGTGTAATGCCCAATGTTCTCCAAATTTTGACCATCTTTCTTAGCTGAGGACTAGACCTAAAGTCAGTGTTCTCGGGAGATGGAGTAAAGATTGACCTACTTGGTGTTCACTGTTGTGTTAGCTTCTTACTGTTACTATAACAAATTACTGTGAATTTAGTGTTTCCAGACAACACCGTTTGGTTATCTTATATTTCTGGAGGTCAGAAGTTCAAAATGGGTCTCACTAGGCTAAAATCAGAGAGTTGGCAAGCCTGTACGCCTTTCTGAAGGCTTAGGCGATGATAAGTTTTATTGCCTTTTCTGGCTTCTGTAGGCTGCCTACGTTTCTTGGTTTGTCATCCCATCCTCTACCTTCAAATCAAGCAATGCAGCATCTTCAGATCTCTCTTGGACTCTACTCTGCCTCTTACTTCCACTTATAAGGATTCTGTCATTATTTTGAATCCACCTGAATAATCAAGGAAAATTCTCTTATCTCAGCTAATAAGCAACTTTACTTTCATCTGCAAATTTAATGCTTTTTGCTATACAAAAAGAACAATGGTCCCCCAGGGGGGTCTGCATTCTAATCCCCAGAACTTGAGGATTAGATTAGGATTAGCAGACCTCCCTGCGGGACCATTACTCTGCTTAGGAGCACTAAGATATGGAATCAAAATATGTTGTCAATGATATGAATTTCTAGTACTCAGTAGGACTAGGATGATAATTGTCTTTATACTGCCTTCCTGACTTTTTAAATCACTTTCATCTTTCTTACGCATAATAGCACTGGGGAGTACTGAACTAGGGAATAAATGTCTGTGATTATTTTGTCAGTGAAAAAAGTGAGAAGTTACTTCAGCAGATCAAGAATCGGTCAAGGGTATGGCTGCAATTGGGAGGCAGGTTTCCTGACTCCCGGCCAGTGCTTTTCCTCTTGTGACATTGTGGTTACTGGTAAATGTTTTCACTTGTCATCTCCGTTTCTCACATTTCTTTGGTATGAGTTTTCTTCTAGGGTATGGATGGCTTGGTGCTCCTCTTAAGTGTGCTGGAATTCTGCATTGCTGTGTCCCTCTCTGCCTTTGGATGTAAAGTGATGTGTTGTAACCCCGGTGGGGTGAGTATTGGCCTTCATTTGAAGATGTCTGTATTAGTTTTCTATTGCTGCATAATCAATTACACAAACTTAGAGTCTTAACACAGAACACATTCATTATCTCTCAGTTTCCATGGGTCAAGAGTCTGGGCAAGCTGAAGTGGGTCCTCAACTCAGGATCTTACAAGGCTGTCATCAGGAAGTTGGCTGGGGCTGTGGCCTTGTCTGAAGCTTCTGATTCTCTTCCATGCTAATGTGGTGGAATTCATTTCCTCTCAGTTGGAGAACTCAGGACAATGTACATTTTCTCTAAGACCAGCAGGAAATTCAGTTGCTAATGCTTTAATCCTTTCATAAAGGGTTCACATGAACAGGTGAGGTCTATTCAGAATAATCCCTTCTTTGATAAACTGAAAGTCAGGTAGTCAGTACCTACACACAGGACTTGTATCCCATCTTATACACAGGTTCCATTCACACTGGAGGGGAGGGAATCATCAGGGGTCAGTAAGTGTCACCTTAGAACTCTGCCTACACAATAGCTACGTAAGAGCTCCTTTTCCCTTTCCTTTCTCCATTAAAGGGCATAACCTCTGAATCCAGATACAAGAATAATTCACAATGAAAAGGCCCCCAAAACATATTTTATTTTATTCCATTATCCTATTACAACTTTTCCTGGAATAGGGAAGAAATGTCAGGATCTCAGACTTCTCTCTCAGTCTGTGCACACCTGCTCACTCTCTTACCCCAAGACCTGCATTAGATGCTCCTGGCAGCTAAGCCCAAAGAATGTCACACAGAGAGAGGAAAGTGGGGAATGGAAGGAGAGAAGAGACCAAGAAAGAGGCTCTAGGAAGAACAGGGAGGGATATCCTCCAAGGGTTCAGGGTTTAAGAATGAGGAAATTGATAATGAACCCCAACAGCTTCCCGTTAGCTTCATTACCCAAAGGCCCACAGGCAGACAAAACTGACAGCCAAATAATAAAATAATCACAGTGTGATGAGATGGTTCTTCTGTTGCCCTTCTCCATCATTTTGTACCTCTCAGTCTACTTTTGAGATTCCCAGGCAACACCACATCCCACTTCCCCACAGCCCTTCCTCACAGAAGATAAATTGACTATAGCACATTAACTCTAGCAGTGGGGTTTTGCAATGCAAAACCCAAGATTGAGAGATTCTCAGCAATTACCAATAATTGTGTAATTTCCTTGAGTAAAGCTTTCTGTTTTCATTGAGTAAAACATTTGGACGTGGAGGCAAACTCCTTAGTAACTTTCATGTCATAATATTTAAGCCTGTATTCCTTTCATCTCTTAGCATAGGAGCTGGGAATGTTGTTTCCTGATCTCCTGGTGTGAATTCAGAAAAGCAGTAGTTTGAGGGCATATGACGGCTAGCTCTCTATCTCTTCCCGGTTCGTCTGCCAACTCTATGTCAAACTGAGTTTGTGGAAGAAGAACTGAACTTTTCTTAGTTTCATGATGATCCCTGCTATTCTGGGCCAGTGTGGTTTTTGCAAATGCTTTATTCATAACCAGCAAATCATGATTTGGGTATGTTGATGTCATCAGCATGAACAACCTGGTTTGGAAGAAGAGCCTCATATTTTTCATGAGACCTTGGTTTACTCGAAATATTGGGCACCACCATCCACACGTAAGATTGATCCACTTGCAAGACCAGGAAAGTGGTCATCAGCAGCTCAGGTCACGAGCTATCACTGAATGTTGTGCCCTAAATCTGGCCTGATCTAGAGAATGACTGAGAAGCCCCACATGCTTGATCTTGAGAATGAATCAGAGAAGAAAAGAGTAAACTCTAATAATGATGACTTTATGTGAGCAGGAAAGGGGCACTCCGAGGTTATTTGGGTGACTCACGTATGGCATTCTGATTGATTTCACAGGTTATGTTAATTCTGCCACCAAATTCTCACATGGCAGGAACAGCATCTCCTGCTCCACTTAATGAGGTTTGATGCCACCGAAAGAGCAACAGAAAAATGCTCCAGAAAATCTATGCTGACTGTAACACAAGAACCCCACATGAGAAAATACCAGAATCCAACTCTGATACTGATAGACATATTGATATCATTATTATATGTAATCCAATTATAAAATGTGTGCGTATATATAGAGAGATAATAAATTCAAAATTATGTTCTCATTTTTTCCCCTGGAACTCAACAACTCATTTCCCTGGCTCTTTATCAGAGTACTAGAAGTTAAATAAATAATGCATTTAATGAGGCAACAGCCCTTGAAAGTTTTTCATTCATTATAAGATCTTTCTATAAAGGCATTACATTGGCAAATAAGATTTGGAAGCAGAAGAGTAAAAAAGGTATGGCTAAAATGAGGCCTGCATGCAAAACACATACTTCTGCTCCCCTGTATAATATTCCTCTCATTTATTTAACTTCGTTTTTCGTCCACCTATGGGGACCAAAGTGCTTTTTCCTTCAGGAAGTAGAGATGCTTGTAGACAGCACCTTGAAATAGCACAGACTGTCCCTGCATCTGCACAAGCTATCATTTGAGTAAAAGCACTGATGAAGTAAAAATCGTATTAAGGATCAGATTCATCTTATATTTTCTATATCTTCTCTTCTTTTCCCTTCTCCCACCTTTTACTGTGCAGACTTATATCTTAACTGAATTTGTATCCTGTGCCATATATGGAATTGTGCAACATATGGTATTTTTAAATATATTTTTAATTGCAGAGCAAAAATAAATACAATTAGAAGCAATACTTTCATGTGCTACCTACTTCCTTTTCTGATGCAAGATGATGGAAAGATACTAAGTATTGATGTCAAAAATACAGTATGGTGGTAAATAATGTGGGCTTTCTAATCAGACAACCCTGGGTTTTCATCTTGCCATCCCATCTTTGTTGTTTACTCCCTATGTAGCTATGAACATGCCTCAGAATTTCTCTGTGCTTCATATTTCTTTTCAGAAAAGTAGTAGTAATATTGTCTGGCCCATAGACCTGTGAGAATTACTTGGTATAAAAAGGTAGAAATACCAGTACTCTGATTGGTACATATGGAGCCTCAAAAGTTTTAATTAATACAAATAAATGTATATATGTGCATAGATATGTATTATATATTCAATTTATCATTTTATTTGGTATATATTTATAAAGTATCTATAATGAGGCAGATATTGTTTTAAGCATGTAAGAAAATGGTGGTAAGACAGACAATATCTTATACATACAAGATAATAGTAGTGAGTAAGAGAGCTAATATGCTTCCTCTCTTGTAGGTTAAACTTTTACGGGACAGGACATAGATTAACATATAAACAATTAATCAAAACCCTTTTATATGTTGTTAGAAGCTAACTGGAAGAATTAATGTGCTAGAGAGTGGTTGCTGGCAGTAGTGGCGAGACATGAGTCATTAGAGTGTAAACAGGTAAGTTTTTTTTGAGGAAGTAATATTTTCATTATGATAAGATAAAAATTATTGCATTTTCATAGACATTCCTATTTTCCAACTCCATATATAGTATTTCTATATATCTCATTCTGCCCTACAATCACATATCTATTGTAGTATCCACCCTTTCTCCATGCATGCTTTTCATGGGAATGTGAGGCCTTTCTTCTATCAATGCTAGCCTGTCTACTTTCTCCAGCTCCAGAGATGGACAATGTATGGAAAAGTCAATTAAGACATTCTATCTTCTTGGTTGAAGGTTGGAAGGTAATCTAGCAAGAACCACCAAACAGAACTTAATACTACTGCCTTTAGTTCAGTGTAGATGTTCTATATCTCCTATTGGACATCAGTAAGAATACATGTAGCCTGCTTTATTACTGGCATATGTGTATGTCTGTAAAGGAAGTAGGTTTAAGAGAAAGTCAAATAAGCAGAAATAGCAATAAATGGAAATAAAATGAATCCTTGATTCCATGAGAAGCTAGGCCCTGAAACTTGTTTTAACTCTGACTTTTAATAAATATTTATGGTCTAAATCATTTCAGTTCAGTTTCTTATTAATTAAAGCACATGGTTTCCCATTTTCTTTTTCTGTAATTGTTCCTGTTCTTTAGCTATTTGCTTTCCCTTTTCTAATATTTTTTATATTTTATGTTTTTTAATTTTTTATATTTTTCACTTTTATACTCTTTACATCCATGTATTTCTTAAAATCCTTATGCATGTGTATAACATATATTTTAAAGCCCTTCTCTTTTGTTGTCATTTCTGAAATGTACAGGTTTGTTTTTACTAATTAGTTTTTCTCCTATTTGTTATTGTGATTTTCCTGCTTCTTGGCATATATAATAATGTAGACTAGATGCTGGATATTATGAGTTTTATTTGATTGAGTGCTCAAATTTTTCTTTTTACACAGATATTACTTTATTTCTTGCAGGAGCTTATTAAACTTGAAGACTAATTTGATTTTTTTGAGACTTTTAAAAAGGCATGATAGGGAGGGTGTATTAGTCCCTTTTCATATTGCTATAAAGAACTACCTGATGCTGGCTAGTTTATTAAAAAAAAAAGAGGTTTAATTGATTGACAGTTCCACAGGTTCTACAAGAGGCATGGCAGGGGAGGCCTCAGGAAACTTGCAATCACGGTGGAAGGTGAAGGGGAAGCCAGTATGTCTTATGTAGTGGAAGCAGGAGGAAGAGAGAGTGAAGGGGGGACGTTCTACATACTTTTAAACAACTAGATCTCGTGAGAAGTCACTATTATGTGAATAGCAAAGGGAAAGTCCACCCCCATGATCCAATCACTTCCCAAGAGGTCTGTCCCCAACATTAGGGATTACAATTGAACATGAGACTTGAGTGGGGACACAGAGCCAAATGATATCAGAACGTTTATAGTTGTTATTAGTTGGGCATATGCTTTAATAATAATTGACTTATTATTAAATAATTATCTTTCTGGAGTTCTCTCCTGCAAGTACTCATGGAAGTCCCTGCATTCTAGCTGATTGGAACTTGAATGTCTCTCAGCCCTGTGTGAGCCCTGGTAATCATACAGCTTGCAACTACCTGGCTAGTCTTTGACTGTATTTTAAACTTCTATTACATGCATAGGTTTATAAATGCACAGCTTAGTGTTAGACAACAAATTTAGGATACTTCCTTACAGATTTCTGGACCTCTGCCTCTGCATAGCTATCCCCTTTATGGTTCTCTTCTCACTAATTATAGTGTCTCAGTGCCCTAAAATTCTGGTTTTTGTCTTCTGAATTTGGCAATATCAGAATGGATCCCTCTCCCTGACCATGGTCTGGAAAGTTTCCTTATGCAGAAAACCAGAGCAATTATTATATTCACATTTGTTTTCATTTTTTAATGTTTAAAGTCCTGCACTAGCTGTTGCTCAATGTCAGGAAGCAGTTATACTTATTTTTTTTCCAGTTTTATTCATGATATAAAAAAATTTTTTGAGACCAGGTCTAACTCTGACACCCAGGTTTGAGTGCAGTGGTGCAATCACAGCTCACTACAGCCTCAAAATACTGGGCTTGAGAGATTCTCCAACTTCAGCCTCCCAAATGCTGGGATTAGAGGCATTAGCCACTGTGGCCAACCCAGTTTTCTAACTAACAATAGAGTGGGAGATTAAGTCTGGTGCTATCATAATTGGAAGAGTTGAGTTTCAACTTTAAAAAGATGCTCACAGACCAGGTGTGGTGGCTCATGCCTGTAATCCCAGCAATTTGGAAGGCCGAGGGGGGCGGATCACTTGAGATCAGGAATTCAAGATCAGCCTGGCCAACATGGTGAAACTTTGTCTCTACTAAAGATACAAAAGTTAATTGTGCATGCCTGTAATACCAACTTGGGAGACTGAGGAAGGAGAATCACTTGAACGTGGGAGGCAAGAGTTTGTAGTGAGCCACGATCATGCCACTGCATTCCAGCCTGGGCCACAGAGTGAGACTCCATCTCAAAAAAAGAAAGTTCATGAACACAGATACTAGCATTTTAATTTCATTTTTATATTAAAATTGATTTAAGCATGTCAACATATGCAACTTAATCTAATCAATACTTATAAGTTAAAATATTCAAGCAGAAAATTGAAGTATTATCATTTTCATATGCTGATACTTTAGTCACCTTGTTTGGGTTTCATAAGAAGCAACTATTAAAAGACACTAGCATATTGCAGTTATTTTATATTTAAATTAATTTGTGATATTTTCCATTGTATTATATAGTAATATTCAGACAGTTTTAATATAACGGAAAACTTTGCTTTCGCACAACATAAATAGAGGAAACATAAGCTATACAAATTCTGGGGAAATTATTTCAATTTTGAATTAATTAAAACATGTCTCTCAGTTTGAATTTTGAGTTTACTGTAGAAAAACACAGAAAAGATATATAAAGCAACCTCCTTTTGAATGCCTGGTGGATGGAAAAACAAAAAAACAACTAAATTTGAGATACGGTTTAAACAAAACTAAGGATGCATTTGCTTTCCGGTTTGAATTTCTTCAAGATCAGCAATTTGTTTTTGTTTTTGTTTTTTACTGACTAAGGTTTGTTAAGATTGCTACTGCTCATATGATTCCCAGGAACTTAAATACTTTTGAGCAACTGTGTGGGGCTGATAATACTAGATTTTTAAAAATTCATCTTCAGTAAGTACACTCTTTCCAACAGAGGAAGCAGTTCAGCAGGTTCTTTGTGGTTCCCCCTCTGGATCTTTTTATCATCAATTTCAGCAAAGGGTGGTTTTTTTTTTTTTTCGGTAAAAGGTCAAGATAGCTTGTTATACTTTTTCTCAGGCTCCAGGTACAGCTTAACCAGATAAACCCTGTAACTTGCTCCTATCTCTTGAATGTATGCTGTCAGCTTGGCCAGGAGGGGCTGGACATCGAAATGAGGAGAGCCATAGTCTAGGTGGATGGAGCTCAGGAACCTCACAGTGCTTTATAAGCCAGCTATCATCTAGAGTGGTCCTTTTCCCCTTACACCAGCAGCAGTGCTTCAACTCTTGTAAATTACTTTCATTAATTGATTTTTTTTTTTTTTTTTAGACAGAGTCTTGCTCTGTCCCCAGGCTGGAGTGCAGTGGTGTGATCTCAGCTCACTGCAACCTCCATTCCTAGGTTGAAATGATTCCCCTGCCTCAGCCTCCCGAGTAGCTGGGACTGCAGGTGCATGCCACCACGCCCAGCTAATTTTTGTATTTTTTAGAAGAGATGCGGTTTCAACATGTGGTTGGTCAGGATGATCTCGATCTCTTGTCCTCATAATCCACCTGCCTTGGCCTCCCAAAGTGCTGGGATTACAGGCTTCTGCCACCACGTCCGGCTTGAATTTTTATCTCAAGTTGTTGTTTTCTACTTAGTGTTCTCTTCCATATTTAGAGAATAATGAAAGTATTCCCATTTTACCTCCAACTCTGAAGCCACAGAAACTGTGCCCATAACAAGATCACTAAATGGCCTAAATGACATATATGCATATGTATATACAAAAACACACATATGTATGGAATATATATATATGAATTTGTATATTTTTGAAAATATATTTAAATATATAATTTTAATATGTACAAATGCATATTATTTGAAAATAAATTTAAGTATATAAAGAACTTGTATATTAGATACAAATTCATATATATTTCAAACCAATATATGCATATACTTTTTTTCTTACATTATAAAACTCTGACAGCATCTGCATGTAAGATAAGAGTCCCTCGGGTGTTGAACAATGAGAACACATGGACACAGGGA